ATCTCAATGTGCTTGTTAACACATGTTCCTTTACATAATGTTCCTCACTGCATCTTCTGCAAGGGTGATTAACTGATGATTGTGGAGATGTTGAAGTGCTGCAGGCCCAGGGCCAGATACACATTATCTTGGGCTATCTTTAGTACCCTTAATAGACACTAATAGTCTGCCTTTGTATATGATATAAAGTAAACAAAGGCTGAGGTTGTCATCAGAGAGTAATAACCTCTGAGCCTCTAGCAGAGATTTCTGAAATGTTCTTCAGTGTATTTGAAGAGTCCCAGTGATATGTGTTATTTTTTTTGTTGTTGTTCTGTTACTATAAAACTTCATGAAACTGTTACTACATTAGAACATTGAACTTAGCATAAACTGAACCTGTGTCACTGGGCAATCAATACTCATATTTATGCCTGGAATAAACTACAACCTACTCTTTTGAGGTAAAATTTCTGTTTTCTTTCAATGCTGTGGTGCCTAAATGTAGGACAACCCCAAAATAAACAACTTTTCATTGGAAGAGCCAGGTATCAACATGGATCCACTCTATTCAAACTGACAGTATTATCTCTTCAGGTGGATTTTGGTGAAAATGCTTTCTATGGCTCACATCTTCCTTACTTTTGGAAAACAAACAAAGAACTGTAACTATTTTCAGACTCATACCACACTTAATGTCCCCTGACCTTTTTGCTTCATTATTTATTTCCAAGCAGAGCAGATTCCTTTTCCAAAGAGAAAATACCTGTGGCTTAGATTAAGATAAAAACAAAAGAAGATGACATTTCATGATATGTTTAAAAACCATAAAGGCTACTTCCCACTGGGAATACTCTCACCTTCATCTGGATATTTTAGTTTCTCTTTGATGAGCTCTCTTTCTCTTAAATCTCCTGTTTAAGCTTTTGTTAAAAGAATTTTTTACTATACCAAAAGCCAAAAATCTTATTGTGGCATAAGTTGGATCCTGAAGAGTCTAGGGGAAATCCCCAGGCTACTGTAGATGACAATGTGCAGGGTTGTGTCTCTGTCCCAACTGAGGTTTCTAGGTGTTCATGGCAGAATTCCTCTTGAAGCATTGTAGATAAGCTTACCTGTTCATCACTCAGCTTATCATCTTGCTAAGCATGGTTTGCAAGTTATCTTAGTTCCCACTTAGTGTTGGAAACTACCACTAGTACCAAACATAGAAATCCCCTAAACTCACACAAACCCTATTCCTGAATCGATAAAATAATACATAACTTTTCTAGGGAACATCATCATAAAACTTATTCTCTTAAATGTCCTAAACTACTTTCTAGCCTATAAAAAAAAGCATCCTGAGACACAGTAAAGGCTACTTGAGAAAGCAGCACATGCTAGATTCAAATCACATTAGGAATAGTTATATCTCCCCTAAATCATTAAGGGACATTCTGTTCCTTCCCTTTCCTTCATGTCTTCTCTGTTTTATGTAAAGTTAATTGTTTAAACAAGGAGGACTCTGCAAGATGTACCCATGGTGTACTGAGAAAAGAGTTGACTCCTATAACTTTTAAGGCCAAAATAGGTGAATTTACACTCAATGCATTTTAATTTCATGAGAGGCTAAAAACTGAGTTGTCTTTAGACATTATACTAGGCTACATAAGATTGGTGATGACCAAAAGCCAAGTAATATGGGACAGATCATCATTATGTAGTCCAGGGTAAGGAAGAAGTGAGATTGGTATGAGGCAGGTAGCTGCTAGCTGGTCCATGATCCTATGTATCTATTTATTTCTCCTTCTTTCATTTAGATACAAAAGCAGGCATTAGAAATGGGGTTTCACCCCAGTACAGTTGAAAGAGTAAATTTTTGTAACCTAAAGTAACATTGACTAGTGGTAGACTAGTCTGTAATGACATTTTATTCATAGATAATTAGCTCTAAAAATAGAAAAGGATGTTGCCTTCAGTCCACATAGAGTCAATCTTTGAATTCTTTGCTCAGCCTGACTCATGGCATAAAGAGATAAGGATATATAAGATTTCTACATGTTTATTATACTGGCACAACTAGATTGCACATAATTATGTCTTGTCTGTCTATGATAATTATTTCCACATTTTTTTCTATCCACAGGAAAAGTAAACTACAGAGCCTATGAGTGCTTCAATCTTTCATTTATTTGCATTGAGTACTGAAATCATATTATATACACACATATATGTAATTAGATGGGATGCTCAATTAAAATCCACAAGTACATACTTATACATGTGTTTGGGTTATTTATTAAATGGCTTGATAAATATATACTGTCTATAATCAGGGGTAGATTAAAGTTCATAAAACCTATTAAAGTTATATGTAGGGGTCAATTAAGTGTTTTATAAAACCTTAAAATGTTAATTGTTTGCATAAAAAAACATTCATCAGAACTGTATGACTAATGTTTCATTAAGCTATAAAGTTTAATGTTATGCACATAGATTTTGACAATTTTTTTTCAAAAACAGGTTCTAATGAAAAAATAATAAAAATTTTATTTCAGTGCTCAGGGTTCATGATGTAAACTTCCGAAATAATCAATAAAAATACTACTATTTGCAGATGATATGATAGTATGCATAAATGACCCGAAAAAGTCTACCAGAACTACTACAGCTTATAAACACCTTCAACAACGTGGCTAGGTACAAAAATAACTAGAAGAAATCAGTAACTCTCCTTTATACAAGTGATAAAATGGACTGAGAAAGAAGTTAGGGCAAGAATACCCTTCACAGAGGATATCAAATATCTTGATGTAACTCTAATCAAGCACTAATCTAATCTAATCACTTTTACGTAAAAGACCTGCATGAGAAGAACTTCAAGTGTCTCAAGACTCATGCTCATGGAACAGTAGGATTAATATAATGAAAATGATCATCCTACCAAAATCAAGCTACAGATTTGATGCCATTCCTATCAAAATTCCAATACCATTCTTTACAGATCTTGAAAAAACAATTCTCAACTTCAAATGGAAAAACGAAAAACCCAGAATAGCTAAAACAGTTCTGAACAAGATTTTCTGGAAATATCACTACAGGGCAATAGTAATAAAAAACTACACACTATTGGTATAGAAACAGACATGATAATCAAAGGAATAGAATCAAAGACCTAGGAATGAGCCAACATATGTATGAGCACTTGATTTTTGACAAAGAATCCAAAAACATACAATGGAAAAGTATCTACAACAAATGGTGCTGGTCTAACTGGATGTCTGCATGTAGAAGAAGGCAAATATATTTGTGGTGGTTGAATATGCTTAGCCCAGGGAGTGGGCACTATTAGGAGGTGTAGCTTTGTGGAAGAAGTGTATCACTGTGGGAGTGGGCAATGAGACCCTTCTCCTACTTGCCTGGGAGTGACAATCTTCTTCTATCTGCCTTCAGAACAAGATGTAGAGCTCTCAGTTTCTCCAGTGTCGTGCCTGCCTGGACACTGCCATGCTTCCTGCCATGATGATAGTGGACTGAACCTCAGAACCTGTATTCCAGTCTCAATTAAATGGTGTTCTTTGTCCTGGTGTCTCTTCACAGCAATGGAAACCCTAACTAAGATGGAAGTACTAAGACAAGATTCATATCAGCCCGCACAAAACTCAAGTCCAGATGGATGAAAGTCCTCAACATAAGTTCAGATACACTAAATCTAATAGAACAGAAAGTAGGAAATATCATTGAACTCAATGGTACAGGAGACAACTTCCTGAACAGAGAACATCAATGGCTCAGATACTAAGATCAGCCATTCATAAATGGGACCTCAAGAAACTGAAAAGCTTCTGTAAGTAAAAAACACCACCAATAGAACAAAACAACAGCTACAAATTGAGAAAAAATCTTCAACAACCATACATCTTACAAAGAGTTAATATCCAAAATAGATAAAGAACTAAGGAAACTAGATACCTCAATTTAAAATGGGCTACAGAGCTAAATGAAAATTCTCATTAGAGGAATCTCAAATGGCCAAGAAGCACTTAAAGAAATGTTCAACATCCTTGGTCATTAGGGAAATGCAAATCAGAACCATTCTAAGATTCAATCTGATTTCCAACAGAATAGCTAAGATTAAAACCTCAAGTGACAGCACATGCTAGTGAGGATATGGAGCAAGGGGAACACGTGTCCATCTCTGGTGGGAATGCAAACTTGTCCAAGTGTTATGCCCAGATCTCCCGACCTCCAAGAGATCTCAAAGAATTGCCATATTCGCTGTACATAAGGTACATAAGAGCCTTTATTTCAAACCCAGGTTTGGATCTCAAGTTGCACAAACAAAGTTGCAGCCCCCTGTCTAAGGGGTAGGGGAATATATATGAAACAGGCTACATAGTGGGAGGGAAGCGGCAGATAAGAAAAAGTGTTAATGTTTTTACAAACCGGTCTCAGCTGCCTGGGAACCCTTAATTGGCATGATTTCTCTTCTAAGATGTATGGTTTTTGCTCTTCCCAAGGCCATAAGCCACCTGAGATGGGGAGTGTTTAGCCATCTATCAGAGAGGGTGCAGCACTGGTTTTTGTTTATCTGTTCTCAAACTTATACTGGTCTGTCCCAGGCTGTGGGTGCTATTAGGGTAAGGATTTGTGGCCTTTGGAGCCTGGCATTGTCTTTTGGGAGGGGTCAGGTGGTGGGAAGGGGAATTTCTATATACAGCTCTCTAGGAGGAGGAAATGGCAGCAGCAGGGGTGGGAGTGGGGGTGGGATGGTGTTGTGAGTGGGTGTTGGCAGAAATGGAGGCATGCCAGGAGACTGGGAAAAGTGTGAAGGGACAGGGCAGAGAGCAGCACTGAGCTGTCATATTAGGGGGTTGGGTCCTATGCTAACAGGAAAGAGTGGCTAAGATCTTTGCTCAGAGAGGGAGGGGTGGAGTGTCTGTGCAGCCAACTCCCAGGGCCTCAGAAGGAAATGGAGGGGCGTGGCTGGGCGCGGGGCGGGGTGGTGTGGAATAGATTTAGCTGAGAGCCCTGCAAGAATAAAATCTCTGAGCCTCAGCTCAAACCCTAATTCCCTTAATACATTTAACCAAGTGCTCAAATGCCAGCCATGCTTGTAGCCGCAGGGTCCCTGGCAGCTGCTTTCTGGGCAGCTCTCCATCTCCGGACTCTGCTGCTGGCTGCTGTCACCTTCCTGTTCCTGGCTGACTACCTCAAAAGCCGGCGCCCCAAGAACTACCCTCCAGGACCGCCGCGGTTGCCCTTCGTGGGCAACTTGTTTCAGATGGACTTTAGACAGTCGCACCTGGCAGTTCAGCAGGTAGGAAAGGGAGAAGGTGCCTGGGTTTGCCCTGACCTAATCCTGAGCAGCTGGGATTTCCAGGAACAGAGGCTGTAGTGGGCAGGACTCTGGCTAAAGTTTGCAATCATTAACCCTAGGCCAAAGAGTTGGTTTCTAAACACTCTCTTTTAAGAAATAGACTGAGGGAATGGCTAACCAGTAACTGGCCCAACATGAGATCCACCCCAAGAGCAAGCACCAATCCGTGACACTATGATTCTCTGTTATGCTTTCAGTCAGGAGCCTTGCATAACTTCCATCTGTGAGGCCCCACCCAGCAGCTGACTGAAACAGATACAGAAGCACACAGTAAACATTAGATTGAGCTCGGGAGTCTCTTGGAAGAGTTAGGGGGAGGATTGAGCTCCGGTGTCTCTTGGAAAAGTTGCAGGAGAAGTTTGAGGGTCCCTTAGGAGATGGAAACGCCACAGGAAAACCAACAAAGTAACCTGGAGCCTTGGGAGCTCTGAGACTGAACCACCAACCAAAAATTATACATGGACTAGACTTAGCCTCCACTGCAAGACACTTAGCAGATATGCAGCTCCATCTTCTGGTGGGTCTCTCAACAATTGGAACGGGGGTTGTCTCTAAAGCTGTTACCTTTCTGTGATCCCATTCCCCTAACTGGACTGCCTGTGGCTCCCTCAGCTGGAGAGTTTAGCCCTCCAGAGACTTAATGTCTCAGGATCCTTGGCTACTCAGTTGGGGCTTTCAGACTCTCAAGAGGAAAAAGGTTGAGGGACATAGGAAAGGAACTGTGTAAGTGGAGAACCCGGGAGGAGGGGGAGGCAGTAACTGGGATGGAAAGTGAATAAATAAATTAATAGGTGAGAAGAAATAAGCAGTTCAATTTTCCAAATAAATGGAAAATTTCTTATTCTTCTATGATGTGTTTCCATTATGGTCAGAGAAAACACTGTATAATATGCCAAGCTCTGTTTGATGACATAATAATAAATCATGATGAAGACGGATATGCCCTGCTACTTTAAGAAATGTACATAAAGCTAAACTTGGCTCAGCTTAGTTGGTTAGAGTGCCTCTCCAGTTTAAAAAGGAGAAAAAAAAAGAGAGTATGTGCATATGGTCTACCCCTCTTGACTGGGGTTTTCTATAGATGTCAGCGCTCTCTTACTGAGACTTGTTTTTTTCTACATCCTTGCTGACTGCTTAGTCATTCATTTAGAGGAGGCTGAAGCAGAAGGAGACTTTTTAGCTTTGCTTCACCTCAGAATGTCTTTCCCCTCCTTGTCCATACTGTCTTTGCCCTGATTGCAGACATGAGGTTGACAATCTGCTAGTATCTCATTTCTTGCTGACAAAAGAAGGGTGGGAAGGAGAATTATCTCTCAGGCATCTTGAGCAATCCTCTTCATAACAGGTCAGCTGTGGAAGTCACACAGAGGCTCAGAGACTCAGCCCAGGAGAGACACACGTAGAACAAGTGACAAGGTGGCATTTACAAGCTCCATCATGGCAGTCCCTCATAGGATTTATATGGATCCCAACTTCATGGTATTTGACTACAGGATATAGAAGCAGAAAGATAAAGAGATCTCTGGCCTGCAGATCCTAACTTTCCTTGGCTTTTGGCAAAAGAGAGTAACATTTGATGGGAGTTTTGCTTGTAGCAAATGCCATCATAAATTGCAAGAATAAAATGACATGTTTTTATTTGATCTTTTTTGGGATAAAATATTGGATCTTTTATGTCTTGCTATAAAGTCATATGTAACCATGGAGGTTGAGTGTCTGGTATCACAGGAATAGCTCATAGCAAAACTGAAGCTGTGAAGATCCTCTCAGTCCAGCAATCTTTTTCACCCCTTTAGTTTGTATTTTCTATAGGTTTGCAAATTGATATCTGAGTGCAAACAAATAAAATTAAGTGATATAATTTAAGCGTAATTACATTTTAGTTCTGGCTATCAGGAAACAATCCTACAAACTATCTCATGGCCTTCCCTTTGTGTTTTTTGATCCCCTTCATTTAGACTCCGTGAGAGGCACACATGGAGTTCTGTTAGCAATCATCTGCCAGCTTTGCATTTGCCACTGTGTAACTGGCTGAGGGAAGGAGTAACCTGAGTTTCCTGGGTTGTTCAGGGAAATAATAACAAAACAAGGGTTTGAACCCTGCATGAATTGATTCACCAATTATTGTCTATCTATATTCTAAGTAGAAGAAAATAGCTTTTAATAACATATTCACAATATGTATTCACAGGCACATTCCTTCTATAGACAATACATAAATGCTTAGGATGACAGGCAAACACAGGACAGTCTATGGTCAAATGATTCATATGGATTCTAGTAATCAATTCTATTATCATATGAAATCTAGATGAATGGGCAGCTCTAGACCTAGCCTTGATAAAAGGATCAAAGTATCATTTGTGCTGTACTTAGAAAAAAGGTTTAATGGGTATCTACTGGAGCAAAGGTGTAAACAATTTTCAAACAATTAAAATGATGTCATTTAAAAGAGGATGGGACAGTGAAGAAGCTGGACTCCTTGTTGTGCATGTGGAAACTGCTTCCTCCAGCTCATAGTTTCTTAGCTTTCTCTAGAGTAGTTAAAAAGCTTTTGCAAAACATTATTTAAATAAGAGAAATGTTATCAGACTGAGGTAGGCATGTGATCCCCAAGTTAGATATTAGCATGTACTTCTAGCTAGCTATAACAATGCTACCCTAATGTACAATGATACTAAGAACACCTTATAGGGTCCTTGTATGTATAAAATTATTTAATAAATTCCATGTCATTCTCAGGATCTCTTACATGAGATCATCTTATTCTCTTTCTTCTTCCTTTTATTCATCTTTAAAAGCATAGCAGAGCAGACTCCAGACTTCCAAGAATACAGTTACATGTTCGCACATCCATCAGGATTTTTGTACCTGAATCCTGAATGAGCCTGTCAGCCCTGTCTCTGGATTCTGCCCCTCTGGATTCTGCCCCTCCATCTTTTTCTTGCTTCTGTTACCAAAACCCTCCTCTAAACCAGTCAAATGTTTGAATAGCCACCATTAATTATTTTGTTATTCCTTTTGTCATCATATTTATGTAAGCAAACTAGCCATCAATAGAAGTTTTATTTACTGTGAATTCCATACTTGTAGGGCAGAGAGGTAGCTCAGTGGATAGGGGCATGTGCTGCCACAGTTGGTTATCTGAATTCATTCACCTGGACCCACACTGTGGGAGGAGAAAACAGACTCCTGAAAATTGTTCTTTTACACATGCAATAACCACACACACACACACACACACAATAGGATCCTGAACTGGCCCACAGAACTCTCCTTGCAGCTAGGCCCAAGTGCATAGTGCAGAGCTGCAGAGAGAACAAGTCATAGCTGAACAAGCATTTAGAAAGTTACTCTTGCCCTATACAGAGTATTGTTTGAAAGGAGTGCTGCCGAAACTGTAGCTAAAGGTGGTATTGTGCTTCCAGAAAAGTCTCAAGGCAAAGTTTTCCAAGAAATGGTAGTGACCATGGTAACAGGCCCAAAAGGAAAAGGTAGAGAGATTCAACTGGTCAGTGTGAAAGTTGGAGACAAAGTCCCAGAATATGGAGGCACCACAGTAGTTGACAAGAAGACAAGAATTATTTCTTATTTAGAGATGATGACATTCTTGGAAAGTATGTGGACTAAAATCACTGTTGAAATGCTGTCATGTGAAGCTGCCCATTCTGAGGATGTTCTGAAATATTTCATCACGTAAATAATTTCCACACCTCCCTTTTATAATAAAAGAATGATTCCTAAAATAAATATGGATGAGTTGATAGATAGATAGACAGATAGATAGATAGATAGATAGATAGATAGATAGACAGATAGATAGATAGATAGATAGATAGATAGATAGATAGATAGATAGATAGATGATAGACAGATGTAGAGTTTTTTCTTATTCGATGCTTCCTATAGCAGACTTGTACAGAAATACATTGGTCTTTCGCAAGTGACCTTTGCTGTGTTCTCTGCCTTCACTAGACTGAGAATGCTTCAGTTAGTGAATCTGCTTACTTATTGAAATTTGTGTCTTAAAGCCTTCTTTCCACTGTAAAGGATACACTGTAGGATATAACTTCCACTCCTATTGGTTCTTGCTAGTGAATTTGTTTAGGATGAATTCCATTCCTGAAGTGAATTTTCATTAAGTACAGTAGCAGGGAAAAAAAATCAAAAACATTTTTACGAACCAAGTTTAATCCTTTCACAGGAAAATAAACCTATCACTATGATTCCCATTAGCTACACACATGACTGCCATTCCTGAACACAGAGATATTAGCCTGCTCACCTTTAACTACTGAAATATTTTTTAGTTTGTGAAGAAGTATGGGAATGTTATCCGTCTTGATTTCGGAATCATGTCTTCAGTGATAATAAGCAGCCTTCCCTTAATCAAAGAAGCCTTTTCTCACCTGGATGAAAACTTTATCAATCGCCCTATATTTCCTCTACAAAGTCATATCTTTAATGAAAATGGTAAGTCTTTCGTGTGTTGTAAAATATGTATTGTAATTTTTATGATACATAAAGGCACATACATGCCTTGTTTATCCATCAGGCCCATAAACCAATCCCTTCATGAAATGTTATCCTTAATGGAAGCTGGATGCCTCGTTTCTTAAATGAAAGTACCCATCAGATGACTTATACTGGGTCCCAATAGAGACTATGCAAAACCACCTGTTTTGCAAAACTACCTCTAGATGCTTTGATTTGAAGTAACCATACCACCCAATCACCACCAGGCACAATGTGCTATCCCTTTCATTTCACCACTCCAGCCTTCTACCCAAGGAAAATGGATTTAAGTCAACGTCCCCCTCTTCTACATCTTGTTTAGAGATGTTCATACTCTATTGTTAAAATTATGGTGACTTCTAGGCTCCTAGCCAATGTTATAACTTATTAGTATGAATACTTCATATTATCATCAATTAAGTCTTAAGTTGAAAACAAAATTTAAAATCTATGAATCTAACAAACATTTGCATTTTAGATGCTAATTGTTCTTTGAAGTAATCTATTAATTAATTCTACATCAATTCGCTCTGTTGTCTGCTATGAGAAACACAGTGCTAGACATATGTCTTAAGGCTTCTATTGCTAGGATGAAATACTGTGACCAAACAACTTTGGAGGGAAGTGCTTATTTGGATTACAATTCCGTACCATTGTTCAACAGCAATGGAAGTTAGGATGGGAACTCAAACAGGACAAGAAATTGGAGGCAGGAGTTAATACAGAGGCTGTGGGGAAAACTGCTTACTGGCTTGCTCTTCATGGCTTGCTCAGCCTGGTTTGTTATAGAACCCGGAACCACTACCCCAGATTTGACATTATTCACATTGACTGGACCCTACTACCCCAAAGTTAAGACAATGCGCTACAGGCTTGCCTACAGCTCTATCTTATGGGGGCGTTTTCTCAACTGTGGCTCTCTCCTCTTCAATCAATTTAGCTTGTGTTGACATAAAAACAGGCAGCATCGTATGACTAATTAGCAGTAAGATAGATTTGAAAATTTTCTGTATTATCTCTATTGGATGAGAAAGAAAATCAAGTAAATACATTAATAAAATAGTGTAGTTTTGTAAGTTAGCCAGTATGGAAGGAGAGGGCTTTTATTAGAGATGTCTAATGTCTAAGGATTCTGGAAAAACTGAGTAACAGCTGGGAAAGCTTCTGAATACGTTTGAACAGAAGAGACATTAGGATAACATGTCTTGAATGGAGGAAAGATATTAGCATTGTAGATATGAAGGATAGAACCTTGTACATTCTAGTAGCAAAACCTGACTGTGGATTAGACTGGGATAATAGCATTGAAGCCATATAGCCACATATGCCTGATGAAAGCCAACATAATGCCATGTTCTACACACCAGGAAAATAGGGTGCTGAAAGAACCTCACCATGAGTTTGGTGGCTAACCTTAATTGTCAACTGCATTTGGAAGCAAATACAATCCAAGCAGATGGGCACAAAAAAAAAAAATGAGGAATAGTGTTTCCTTGAATCATTTGAGGTGGGAAGATGTACCCTAAATCTGAATCATTTCAGGGTTTGGAACTAAAAGGACTCTCCTTAAATCTGGGCCACAACTTCTGATTGCCGACCACCTAAAAGAATATGGCAAAAAGGAAGCTTTTGTCTCTTTCCTGCTTGTTCTAACTCTTACTGGCAAGACCAACTATCCTGAAGCTAAGGAATTCCTTCACTGGTACTTGGATCTACTTCTTTAGGATCCCAATGATAATGAAGACTAGCTGAGACATCTTGCCTCATAGATTGAACAATCTTATCATTATTTTCATTGAATCAGGAGACAGTGATTTTTAGACTAGCCTGTAAGCCAGTCTAATAAATTCCCCTTAATATATCTAGATTGATTTTATCGGTTCTAGTCCTGGATTACAACCTTCTTGGAGGGGAAATAACTCACAGGGATCACCCAAGCCAAAGTATAAAATATTTATATTATGATTCATAAGAGTAGCAAAATTATATTTATACAGTGGCAATGAAATTTATATTATGATTTATAATAGTAGCAAAATTACAGTTATAAAATAGCAATGAAAATAATTTTATGGTTGTTGGTCACCACAACATGTGGAACTGTGTTAAAGAGCTATAACATTGGGAAGGTTGCACACCACTGCTTTAGACAACTCCAACTAATACAGATTATGGTACCAGGAGTGGTTCCTGGCATTCAGCTTAAAACAGATGACAATACTTATATTGTTGTGGAGTCCACTTTGATCCAACACAACTCATATGCCAGGTCAGTGCAGATGACAAAAATTTATTCTAATTAAACTACCACTGATTAATTGGGACCAGAGAATAGACTCAGGAGCTGAACAATATTCCCGAGCCCCATTCCCAACCCAATGTCTCTGAGCTTTTAAGCTTAAAAACCACAAACTTCTATGCCAAGTTGCAGGTACATTGTCCCACAAATCAGGATTTAAGGGTAAAGGACTTCCTTAAGAGCATGTCTTTCTGGTACACTTATTCTATTCCCATTGCATGTATTATTTAACTGTGGCGTAGACTAGCCTATCATTTACATGCTTACTTGCCAACCAGAAGGACAGTTACCCAGGTAAGGATTGGAAACTTAAACTTCATTTGACCTCTATTCAAAATAGAAGTTTCATTTTGAATGGCTTTAGTTTGGTTTCTTCTTACAACATATCTACCAAACAAAAACATGGATACATTAAACACAACGCGTAGATGTGTTGGTTCTGGGGAGACTTAAAATTGTCTACCTTGATAGTTACCTTGTAACCATGTTACCATGAAAATTTTACTTTATCCTTGTATCTCATTTTTCCATCCATTGGGATGGGTCTAGCATGTTTTGGTAATAAGCCTTTATTTTTTCTAAGAGTGTTAAATTAAAGAACATATTAGAAGTACTTACTAAATTGTGTGATGTTGCAAGACACCAGGAGATGCTAGCTATTATGTTCCTTGCTTTGATATTCCCTCTAGATAGCTGTCAGGCCCCTTACTGGCCCTTCTTCTTTACATTGTGCATGTACCCATACAGTTCATGAGATAATTTTAGAACAAAATTACAGTGCCATAATGCTGAGTCTCTTCTTTCCAGGATTGATCTTCTCCAGTGGCCAGACATGGAAGGAGCAAAGGAGGTTTGCCCTGATGACACTGAGGAACTTTGGACTAGGAAAGAAGAGCTTAGAGCAGCGAATACAGGAGGAGGCTCACTACCTTGTGGAGGCCATAGGAGAGGAGAAAGGTAAGAATTCCACAGGGCAGCTTAGGGGACTGTGGTCCTTTCATTCATGGCATAGATCCCTACTATGTGTCTAAGTGCTTCTCCTGGGCCCTGCAGTATGCTTGACACTGAGGATTGAACAGTGAATATCTAGACATGCCCCTCCCCCAAGATTTTTGTATCTAAGCATCTAAATTGGCCATTAAACAAATTGCTGAACTTAAAGCCTGGCTGTCGGTCTGACTTTCTAGGCATTACCAGGGTCCTTGGTTCATGTCAGACCCATTGTAGTATGCTTTGGCCATACCTTCTTGCATGGTTCTCTATGGGTGTTTTTTCTGTCATATGGAATTAACAAAGCAGTATCTTTGAAAGATGCATCTCTTTCTTTATTCACATCCAGGACAGCCTTTTGATCCTCACTTCAAGATCAACAATGCAGTTTCCAATATCATTTGCTCCATCACCTTTGGGGAACGGTTTGAGTACCATGACGGTCAGTTTCAGGAGCTGCTGAAGTTACTGGATAAAGCCATGTACTTGGGTACCTCCATAATGATTCATGTAAGCATTCTGGCTTCTTTTATCTTAAGAGAAAACTGAACCTATGCTGATTTAAGTACAGATAGGTTCTTGCTTTTTATTTCTAGGACCTTTTGAAACTAAAATATAATGCCTTCAAATTGAGTTTGATACAAATTTATCTCATCTAAATTTACCCTTTGATTTGGAAGTTTTAGATAAGAAAACTTATTGTACAAAATGTTTCTAGTATTTTAATGAAGTACCAGCATTTACATGCTATCCATGTATGTCCAAATGCCACTGTTTTTTAAGGAATGAAAATATCATTGTTGATTTGCCTTTATCTCTCCCAGGCTACCCCATTCATAGCTCTCATGAATACTCCAAGTATTCTTCCTGGCTGTCCTGTTTGTATGCTCCCCTTTTTAGCCCTTTGTCATTGTTCGTTACTCTTTCCTCAATGATTAACCATTTGGTTGTTTCTCAGTTAAGGTTGTTATTAATAGCACTGCTATGAGTAGTTTAAATGTTCTTGTGGCCAAATTCATCATTATTTCTTGTATTTCTTTTAGAGAAAAAACATAAGTTACTATTAAAAACTGGTTCCACTGTTTACGTGCCCATTCCTTAAAACTGTCAGTATTGAAATACCACAACATGTAGCCCTTTGAGATTCAATTTTTATTCCCATGTCAGTAGGATCTATGTTCCTATGTTTATCCCTATGTAAATTTTCCTCTCAGAATTACCTTAGCTGTCTCGCAAATGGTCTGGTGGGCTAAGCTTTCATTATTATTTGGTTCTAGAAGCTTGGCATCTCTCTTTTTTTCAATGAGACATTGTCTATTCAAGATTGTATTTGTCAGTCTCTATGTATTTTTTTTTAACTTCTATAGTATTTCTTGCTATTCAATTTTAGTTTTATTACACTATGATCTATATGTATATAACAGATTGTTTTATTCTTTTGGGTTTGGTAAGGCTTGGGTCTTTATTTTACAGAAAGTCCCGTGTGTTACTAACAAGTAATTTTCTGTTTCATTTGGCTAGAATACTCTTCAGATATCTAATAAGTTCATTTGATCTATGGTACAGGTTAGCTCTGAGTTTCTTCTTGGTTAGTACAGTTTCCCTGCTGGTTTTATATGGGATGACCTACCTATACAAGCTTGGGAATATAGTGCTGGCAATCACCCATTATTCTCGCATGAGGATCTCTCTGAACTTCATGTTCATTATTATTTCTTTTATGAAACCCAAAGTCCCAAATTTTGGTGCATATAGATTTGCAATTTTCTAATTGAGATGTTGTTTCTTTTCTGAATATGTAGTGGCCTTCTTTATCTCCTCTATCTAGTTTTGATTTAACATTAGAATAGATAATCCAGCTTGTTTTCAGTTTCTGTTTGCTTCATAGATGTTTTCCTTCTTTGACTTTCAGTCTGTGGGTATCTTTTCAGTAATGTGTGTTTCTTCGAGGTAACACTATGTTGAATCTAATTTTCTATCTAGTAAATCAGTCAGTCTATATCTATTTATTGATGAGCTTAGACCATTAACATTTAAGGTTATTAAGGAAAGGGGTTACAGTAATTTTGTCACTTTTCATTCTTTCCTGGTTGTTTAGATTATTTAGTTTTTACTTTCCCTTGATTAATATAAAGGATTTGTTTGTCTTCTGTGTTAGACATGACAGATTCCCTTCTAGCTCTCCTTTATTCAACTGTTCTCATAAAATGTATTCTTCCCTGTGCTCTCAAGAGTGAGACTTGTCTTTCTTCCTCTGTGTATGTCACTCTTTTAAGTAGAAGTCTTCTTCTGTACTGTCTTGGTGGTCATCACTTGACTTAGCCTTTAATTTTCTTGACTCGTTCATTATTCCTCATCAGTTTTAAAACAGACATTTGCTGAATGTGCAGCACATGATTGGTAGTTATTTACTTTCTCAGTTTGAAATATATCATCCCCAGATTTCCAGGCTTTGATGGCTGCTGATCTGGAATCTGATGTTAGTCTCCTATTTCAGTTTTTAGATGTACATTGGATTATTTCTTTTAGAACTTAATTTTTTAAGTATAATTCTCTCTCTCTCTCTCTCTCTCTCTCTCTCTCTCTCTCTCTCTCTGTGTGTGTGTGTGTGTGTGTGTGTGTGTGTGTGTACTTGTACATGATAGTAAGCAGAAAGTCAAAAGATATCTTTTAGAATCAATTCTATTCTTTAGTTGTGGGATCCAATGCTTAAACTTAGGTTGTCAGGCTTGTGCCTCCTATACTTGAGTGACTTGTTGTTTCTTTCACTTAGTGAAACTTTTTGCTAAAATTTCATTGAATTGGTCATCCATCCCTTTCTGTTTTAGCTCATCTTGTGAAATAAATCCATGCATATTTCTGAGTGTGGTCTCTTGATCATATCAAAGTTCTAATACATTTTGGCCTTAGTCATTATTAACATTTTTCATTACACTGTTGGAATGTAGTGTTTCTACAGCAGTGTTCTTCCTTCCAGATCTTCTTTGGGGTGGAGACTGTTGCTAAGGTTTTCTATTATGGCTTTGGGTTTTGTTTGCTTGCTTGTTTTGTAACATTTGGTTTATTTTTGACTCGAGTTTGAAATTCCCAACATTTCTATTTGTTTGTGGCTTTTTTAAAAATAAAATCTCAATTTCCTTGCTGAATTTTCACCTATTCTGTCTGTTTTTCATCTTTATTGCTACCTCTCTCTTTCTTTTCCCTGTAGCTTCCATGCTACTAATTTTCAGCTCTGGAGCTCACACAAGACACCGCTGCTTGTTTCTGTCCCCTTTCTGTCTCTGATCATTTTTATCAGAAAGCCCTTGGATACTTCACCCAATAGTTAACGTGTTTCTGGGAGTTTGAATTGTGTTATGACTTCAGAGGCACCATCTTGCCTTTTTTTTTTTCCTTTTTATTTTTTTATTTTTTGGTTTTTGGTTTTTTGGTTTTTTTGGTTTTTTGGTTTTTTTGGTTTTTGGTTTTTTGGTTTTTTGTTTTCATTTGTGCATCTAGTGGTTGGAGTATCTCGTCTGGATTCTTTGAAATGATCTTTTTATTGATCAGCCTGGTTATAAAAGCTAGTGTCACTTAGTCAGTAGAAACAAACTGTCCTAGCAGTGATATTAAACTCTACAGATATAAAATCAATGATATTTCACTAACATGTCACTGTTGAAATGATAATTGGAAGGCTACTTTGCAATTCTTTCTGAAGATAAATTTATTTAAGGTAAGTGTGCAAGCAGTAAGTAAAATAAAGGAAGAAGACGAGGAAAGGACAAAAAGAGAAGGAAGATTCATAAATGAGGGAATGGACAGAATGTCATGTGGAAGAAAAGTACAAAGGATTTTTAAAAGGTGAGGGATGCATCAAAAATATTTCTCAGAGGTGAAAAGTTATAAAAGTTAGACAAATGTAAGAAAAAACAAGAAAACTATTATTTTAAATATAATTAATATTTATTTATATTTAAATGGAGACAAGTCAGAAATGTAAGGGGAAGGCAAAGGATATAAAAAGTAATTTATGGAAGAGAAATGTTATTGTCTCCAAATTGAACAAAAAACTTGATAAATGACATTAGATGAGTTCGTGAAGGGGGTAAAACTAAAAGCGTAATTTAAAAATATGCTGTCCACTTAAAAATTCTGCAAATGAAAAGAAGGAAAAAGGAGAGACAAAAAGGAAGAGAAGTAATAAAGGTAAAGCAACTGACTCTGTAGTGCTCTGAGTCATCAGAAACTGTACGAGCATGGCAGAGGAGGCAAGCCAAGCCTGGGACTCCTGTCTTGACTTTGGCTTTTGATGTTGCTGAGTCTGTGCTTCAGCATCTCACCTCTTCACCGCATCTTTTTTCTTTCGTGGGTAACAGGGACCTCTGCTGGCCAAATTTAGCTTTGCATTTTGTGATCAGTGCAAGACTTTCTAGATTAAGTCTCCTGGTGCCACTCTCAGGTGGTGGTGTATCCCAACTATGTTGAGAGTGTGGGAAGCAACCTGCCTTCACACATTCAAGATGCTCTGAGTACTGAGCACCACTCTGTAGGAATGCCCCTCTAAGTTATGTAAATCCCAGACATGCCAGAGTTTCTGAGTTCTATAAATAACACAATAAACAACATAAGACTAGTTCCATAATTTGACCCAGCCCATGGCCTCGGACTCAGAATTATCAAACCCCATGGTAAATTTAAGCTGATAAGGTCAATTGGTAGCCACTGCATGTTGAACTTTCTTCCTTTATGTGCTCCTCAGCCTGGTCTCGCTTTCTGCCACCTTCATCCTTTGGCCCTTGAGTACGTTTGATGACACTTAGGATCAAAATTGGGACAACTACTGAATGCTGTACTGAACTGACACAGATATAGTGTGTGACCTAGGTGGGAAACAGTTGGACAAGTGGGAAGGGGTCAGAGGCTGATGTGTTTTGCATGAGAGGGTTGAATGCCCCACAGTGAGTCTGAAGGAAAGCAACAGGCTAGGTGTTCCCAGAGTTCCACTGTAGAAGATGAAGAGGGAAAGTCAAGACTGTCTTGACATATAGAAAGTGACTTTATGATTGCCTTCTTCTCCTTTATTAGCTCTACAACATCTTCCCATGGATAATAAAACATCTCCCAGGACAACACCAAACATTGTTGGCTACCTGGAGAAAACTGAAATCATATATTGCTGATATTGTTGACAATCACCGCAAAGACTGGAACCCTGATGAACCAAGAGACTTCATTGATGCTTTCCTCACTGAAATGGCAAAGGTGGGAAGATGTCACCTGTGTCTTTTTACTTAAAGAGTGATGTACAATAACTTCCAATTGATCCAGCAGCAGGCAACCACAATGGTTGGATTTTACCATACCATACATTTATTTATTCTCTCATATTTCTAGGTTGTCCTGTCATCCTGTCTGCCAGGCAAGCTACTTTGGGAGACAATAGACACTTCATTGCCTCATGTCTCCCATCTCCTAAGGGACACTGATGCGTGTTCCTGAGGCTCATTGTTCTAAATTCAATGCCAAGATTGCAACATCTTTTTGCTTTCTAATCCCTTTCCATCTTATTTCTCTGGTACTAACCCTGGAGGTCTCTTATAAGGATAACCTTTCCCCCTGAAATTCATCAGATCTATAGGTAACAGGTAACCTACAACTTCCATCCTTTTTCTTTTTCCCATATCTGAAGGAGATATACACAAAATAAAAACAGCAGTTAAATTTCAGAACTTTATTTTGTTATGAGTTGGTACAAGGCTGAGTACCGCCCCCAATCCAAATGCCCACTGTAACATACAACAGCTAAGTAAGTGATAAGAATTTGACTTTTATATCTAGGTGAGGACTTTATCAATTCATGGTCTCCATATCATCACTAGCCAATAATAGGTGAAGGCAAGAAGACACTGAATGAACATATTAGTTAAGTTTGCATCTCTGTGACAACAACATATGGTAGCAAAATAAATAAATCAAAACTGTACTCTGGCTGGGTTTCAGAAGATTTTCATCTAAAGTGGCAAATGACAAAGGAGCTAAGTTCCTGGGCTGAAGGGTGTGGGGTAGACTTTCACAGCACAGTGGATCAGGAAGCAGAAACAAGAAAGGGACCATGGGTTTGGTGCAACTGTCAGAGTTATCCTCCTTCCTCATGGGCACCTAGTTCCTTCAGCAAGACATTATATTCCTATTTCCAAGAACTTTCCAAATACTGTCAGTGCAAGGAACCAAGTATTTAATACATGAGCCTCAAGAGGAACATCGTGAATTTAAGTCACACTGTAAAATATAAGCCCTTGGCCCCAGTAGGCTTCTGATTGATATCATTGAATCTGTCTTAAGACCTCCAACTCACTGGATAATGGGCACTGGTAAATATCTATCTGTCTATCTATCTATCTATCTATCTATCTATCTATCTATCTATCTATCTATATCTTCTTTGTTATTTTACTTTCCTGGCATAATATTGGTAGAAGCCATATTCTATGTCCAGGGGAGGAGGCAAATCACTTACCATGTGAAGTACGGGTATGAGACTTTCAATGTTGAGATCATATTAACAAATATATTTTTCCAGAAGAAGTGATTAAAAGCAGTGTTGTTTCATAAAGAATAATTGATGGAATAAGTAATGTTTTAACTTTGCAAGATGATGCAGATTGAAGAATAAATGAACAGAGAAATTCTATTTTAATTTTTCTGTTATAAACAAAGTCACCTGTTAAACATTGGCTTTGAGCCTGTTGTATTCCCCAGAGATGATAATGGCGTGTTATGATGTGTGTGTTATTCTTATCATACAGACTGACATATGGACATAGACAAGGATACAAAGTGAGTGCCTTAGGCCATACAGATATTTAGTGATATGGCAGACACTGGAAGCCAAATAAGCTTTTTTATTACATTCTCTTCCCACTGTACAAAATCTTTTCCAAAAGTTTAGTGATAAGAATGGTTGCTTATATTTTCATTCTATCAACTGCTTCCAGGACTATAGGATCAAAGGAATCATCATTCTGAATGACTTAATCCAGTTCATTCCTCAGGGTGAGGACCAGTGCTCTGAGACAATCACAAATCCTCTAAATCAACAAACACACACTGTCTTTTCCAGTACCCAGACAAGACTACTACAAGTTTCAATGAAGAAAACCTCATCTGCAGTACTCTGGACCTCTTCCTTGCTGGAACAGAGACGACATCCACAACACTGCGCTGGGCTCTACTCTACATGGCCCTCTACCCAGAAGTCCAAGGTGAGCATGTGCTGACCATGTCTAACCAAAGCAGAATGGGGCCAGAAGAAATGGGGTGTAGTGGAGTGAGTGGGGACCGGTGAAACAACATTTGCAAAGAGGCAAATCTTGCACATGTTCTGTTAGGACAATGATTGTTCCAGGAGTGCAAATATCACATCCTGTACCTTCAGGAACATTGGAGGTTAGGAGAAAAGACAGAAGTCAATTTAAATTGTGGTAGGTTCCAGCAAGAATAACATTACCACACAACATGCCTCCACACACTCCTACGTTTATAGTAAATCCTTCCCATTTTGAGTACTGTCCTAATTCTTTATTCTGGTAGTTGATATCTTGTGATACCACCTTTCTGCCAGTCTAGGGATCTGCCTGTCTCTGTCTCACAAGTGGTAGGATAACAAGAAACTGCAGACTGCCACACCTTACTTTGTTCTGTGATTCCGACTCATGTTTTCATGTTGGCATGGCAACCAAATTACTAAGTCACACACATACTTTAATACATATATCATATGTGTGTGTATAGATAGATAGATAGATAGATAGATAGATAGATAGATAGATAGATATTTGTGTGTGTGTGTGTGTGTGTGTGTGTGTGTACTGTATCTATACTATCCATATACATATGGGCTACTACTGAAAATGCCTTTCTTGCTTAAGGTATGTTTTGAGAAAGCTTAAAGCCTATTCAGTTATGATTCTGGCTTTCCTTCTAAAACAAAGATTCCAGGATATTTAACATTAGTTTCTTTTAGATATTTTAGCAATTGTTTATTGCTAAAAGTTTTAAAATATATTTATATATTTTGTGTATATGTGTGTGCAATTTGCATATTCTCTTTACACATGTGCATATGTCAGGAGAAAGAGCCAGGCTGGACTTTGTGAACTTCCTAGAGTTGCAAATCTTTTTCACCTATGACTGTTGAGCTCAGGTGAGGACCAGCAGACTCTACAGTGTCTCTCATGAGGACTGTTTTACACCTACAGTAAGGAAACTGGGAAAGGAACCAGACATTGTCTCTATAAGCCTTGTTCCAAGAGTAAAACATCTCATCTATTTTTTTTAACTTGCAAAATTCAGTTACATTTCCCCTTTCCACATTCCTTCTTATAGAATCTGGGAAATGACATTTTTACCTAAATGACCAAGTACTGTTATGAGCTTAGCCATGGAGATCCTGATTATTATTTTTCAGGATAAATGAAAATTCATGGTTATGCTGTGGACCTTAAGAAGGTTATAGAATTTGTAGTTTTCTACACTAGGCTCTTTAAGAAGTAGACTTTTATTTCTCCACAACCAGGATGCTGGGTGAAATAAAAGCAAGGAAGTTTAGAAGAGAATTTCTATATCTTTAGAAGAAAGCATTAAAATTTAAAACTTAATAGAGCCTCCCATTTTCTTGAAGCAAAAGTACAGGCTGAAATTGACAGAGTGATTGGCCAGGAGAAGCATCCCAGCCTGGCTGACAGAGACTCAATGCCTTACACCAATGCTGTCATCCATGAAATTCAGAGAATGGGCAATATTGTCCCTCTGAATGTTCCCAGGGAAGTCGCAGTTGACACTACACTGGCTGGATTCCATCTGCCAAAGGTAAGTTGGCTCCAGCAAGGGAGTTTGATGTGTGTGTCTATTTCATACATTGTCTTGAATCTTTGAAACTTTCCCTAGGGGACCACGGTTATCACCAATTTGACTGCACTGCATATGGACCCTAAAGAATGGGCCACCCCAGACACCTTCAATCCAGAGCACTTTTTGGAGAATGGACAGTTTAAGAAGAGAGAATCATTTCTGCCATTCTCAATGGGTAAGTTGTGATACACCGGAGAGAGTTCAGAGCTCCATCTCATCCCTTCAGTCTCTCCTGGCATCCTTTCAGATAAGCCTGCCCAGCATAACTTCATCGTGCAGTTGGTTTCAGCCCTTCATGCCCACCCATACACTGTCAGACCCTTTTTGCTTCTGAGAAAGATTTCAACTTCCCTTGTTCTGTTTTCTACAACACTGACAACAGAGACCCAATCCCTGCCCCTTGGTAACCGAGAAAACTGTATACCTGCCACTGTGTAGACATTTGGAGTGCCACAAGTTCTTTTTAAATGATGCCTCCTTACAGGAAAGAGAGATGAATGTTAATGGGTCTTAATTTATTAGTTTTAACTGGCATTTGCTTAAGTGAATTTACATCTGTCCTATGAACACTCCCAAACAGTCTGATTTTTTAAAGCTAAAATCCCTTTTGTTAAATATAGTTAGTTTCCCTGCTTCACAAGCATGAAAGGAAAGGCAGTGATGACACTTGTTCCCTTGTGTTTTCCACCAGGCAAGTTATTATAGTCGTAGATTATGAACCAATAACCAAATATTCTAGTATATTATAAACATTGGCTTATATGTGCTGCATATATGTCTTTTCAAGTAATTTTGCAATTTATTAATTCCATAAATATGTTCTAAGCATATATTATCTGCTGAACATCCAATCTGAGAATGCGAATGTACCAGGAGAGAAGATGAGGCAGAGGGCTCCTTGGACCACATGTCCCACTGCAGCCTTTCCAGACACAGATACAGACCTAGCTAGATGTGCTGCAGCTGGAGCTATGCCCACCAGATGTTCTCACACTGAAGGCTATGTTTCCTAACACTGCCTCCCGAAGGTGACTGAATGCTGCACAAAAGCCACACAGGAAAGCTTGACAAGGTCAACAAGCTTGCTTGATTATTGGGAGCAATGTCATATCTCATGATACTGTGGGTCAGGAAGGGAGAATTCTTATGTTGCCCTTTTGCCAGTCTAGATCCAGAGCCAGTGTTTCTCAGTGCTAAGCTGCGCTGGGTGTCTGGCCAGACTGGTTCTGATTTCTTTGTCTTTTCAACTAGGCTTTTCTGTCCTTCATTGTTAACACTCCCTTTAATAGGAAAGCTGATACGACATGGAGCCTCTATCTAGTCTTCCTGCTTATGAAAATGAAAGTTTTAAATTATAGTATAAAATCTCAGCTACATAGTTCACTCATACTAACTATTCTAAGTTAATGGATCATATACATGAAATATGGAAAGTCTATGAAAATATTAGCCTTCTTATATACCAAATACATGCTTTGTGTGATAATTCCTGGAGCTATGGTGAGAAGAATGTGAGAAGATCCCCACAGGGAGATATTCCTCCTGTCCATTGCTACCCATGTGCATGCTTTCTCTTCACCTATGGTGTGAAATCATCTTGTCAGTTTAAACTATCCTCCCATCTGCACCAGTTGTAAACAAAAGTGGCAACATATAGAGACTCATTGATACTATTTTTACTAAAAATATTACTTACCACGTGCCCAAAGAATTGACAGAACTGTGGTCAAGGCTTATATTTTTACTAGTAGTTTAGTTCTCTTTGTATTCCACCCAAATTATAACTTGCCACCACACTTATAGGCACATTCATGTTAAATTCACCAAGGTCATGTCTTATGTATAAGTTAGCATCTTGTTGTATAACAAGTAGTCACAAACTGTATTAGTAAGAACCTGTTATTGCTAACAGGTTCCCACCTAAGATCAATGACTTAGATGATCTTGGCTATCCTGCCTTATCTCTTATCCTGGATGTTCATATGGTTGTGATAAAGATCTCTAGAGTCATCATGGAAGCACAGAGGCCTGATGAGTCCCAGCTAGGAACTGTAACTCCATGTCTGTACTCTCTGCTTATTTGGCTTACCTCATGACCAGCTCTTTCTTATTACATTCTACATTTGATCATTCCATAGAAAGAACCAGGACTTCTGGAAAATGACAAAATTCATTTCCAGAGAAGGGAAACCTAAATATAAGTCTAGAATACACTGTTATCCAAAAATCAGAAAATACCAGTGTGAATGGCCAATTCAGGAATATTTCGGGCACTAAAACAAGTACTGGATAGCAATGGGTTGTAATACTTACTGATAATTCATGAATGATTAAATATAGAGGGGTGAGCAGCATTAGAATGTCCACACAGGGCCTGAAGAGAGATCTCGGTGGCTAAGAGCATTGGCTGCTCTTTCAGAGGACCTAGGTTCGAATCCTAGTATCCACATGGCAGCACACCACCATCTATAATCTCAGTCTCAAGGCCTCAGTGGGCGTTGCACAGTTGTGGTGCAAAGACATGCATGCAGACAAACACCCACACACATGAAATAGAAATTAAAGTTTATTATTTTTAAAGAATGGCAATGTAGATGATAATGTGATAGAATTTCTAATGTCACAATTTAGCAGCCAGATGCAAATTTTGGAAGTGAAATACCAATGGAATCTTGCAGGTGAACAGTCTCAAAATATTTTCTTATAAAAATTAAAAAGCGGTTTAAGAAAAAAATGGCAGACACTACAATCATCACATATTCCTCAACAATAAAATCTCAAAACTAATTGTCACCAGATAGGTTAAATGAGAACACAGTGTAACCTAAGTGGCATCCTCCTAACAGGGCAGATGCTCATGACCCTCATGTGCCCATTAGGAAGATAGGAGATACATAGAAACAAACACCTCTTATAATCTTTAAGGAAATAACAACTTAAAAGTTCTGCAAAGGTTAAGGAATCATGACTGTGTCTGGAAGAGCAAAGAGAGAGCACAGATAAGCCTAGCATGTGACTTCAAAGGTATCATGTCACTGCTGGCAAGTCTAGTGGGATCTGTTAACTATGCTATTGTTAAACTCTCTATGTTTAAAAACAGAGAGATTCTGTGTCACCAGAATCCTCAGCTAGAAAATGATCTGGAGCATGAGGTAGTCCCATGAAAGTTTTCTCTGGAAGTTAAACAAAACATAATAAAGACAGATGGAAGGTTAATTTTACCTGTTCTCTGATAATGCAGGGAAGGGGAGCTATGTGACATGTCTTCAGGCTTGTGGACATGAGTGCTGAGATATTAGAATGAGAAGAAGCACACATAGTCAGGCAACCGAGGTCTTTGTCACACTGAATCTGACTGATCGTGATCTCAGTTCTGGTCACACAGAACTGAGGTCTTAGTGTTCAGAACACAGCCATTTCTAGGGCCAGGAGCAATCTACATTTGGTACTGAGCAAATCTCTACTGCTCATGGAAGCAGTGAGTGGCAATCACCAATTTCTTTGCAGGATGGAGACCTCTCAGAGCAGAGATTGTAGAAGGAAAGCTAAGCAGTTTGTGCTGTGTGAGAGGACAGCACCTGCTGAGGGGACAGAATGACCAGTCAAGGCACTGATGCTCCTGGATGCTGTAAGGGAATAACTGATGACTTCTGGGGCCATCCCAGAACTCCGTAGGAGGACTGCTGGCTCTTGTCAATTTGATAACCATATCTTAGATCCTCTTATCTTGGCATCTTCATTCTTGAAAGGGATGATGGCCAGGTTTAGATGTGCACTTTTTAAATGATAGGCTGTATTCATGCAAGAATCTGACTCTATGTTTAGGACAGGAGACAGATACAAAATGAATGCAGAGACATCAAGTATTCTGTTTCTAGTTGCCAGGTATGGATGTGTAGACCCAATTAATAATCTAGAACCTTTGCAAGGGCAGCCACTATGTCCCTGACATTCTTGTTAGGAACTCATCTCTGTCACCTGCTTATATTTTGGAATCTTATTTAATTCTCTAATATTTTTTCTGTTTTATTTTACATATGTAGGTATATGTCTTTGTGTATGTATATACAGTGCCTATGGAGGCCAAAAGTGGCCGCTGAATCTCTTAGGCCCAGAGTAGCAGGTGTCTATGAGCATCCTGATGTAGGTGCTGAGATTTGAACTCTAGTCCTCTGATAGTGTAGTAAATAACCTTAATCATTAGCTATCTCTTCCTTGTAAGGGTTATATAAAATTCCATGATTTTGCTGTGCAGCCATTGTGTGGTGTATCATTTATATTTCTTAACTGAATTTGAAAAGCCTTGAGACTAGTCACCCATTCTCTCAGCCAACTCAGGCCTCTCACTTCTATTGTCCCACACGAAGACATTTGAACTATGATTCTGAAGTTCCATATTCAGTGGAACATTCTACATTCAGTCACTGTGAGACATAAATAAAGAGCTAGACATATGGCACAGGGTCCACTCAGGATTTTCAGGAGGAAACTCAAAACAGGAGTCCCTGCAGTTACGAAGGCTAGATGAGGAAGTATCCCATCTTCTGTTTTCTTTCCTGCAGGAAAGCGAGCTTGCCTTGGAGAACAATTGGCCAGGTCTGAGCTCTTTATTTTCTTCACTGCCCTTGTGCAAAAATTTACCTTCAAGCCTCCAGCCAATGAGAAGCTGACTCTGAAGTTCAGATTAGGCCTCACCATTTCCCCAGTAAGCCACCGAATCTGCGCTGTCCCTAGACTGTGATGTTGGAGAAGAAAAGGAGAACAGGAAGAACTGAATAATGCACTGATCCACTGACCTTATTGCTCCTATATGAAAGGCGAGAAGAAAGGCGACTGGGAAAGTTGGAAGGAATTACGCTGAGGTCAGTGAACCTATATTCTGCACTGCTGAGACCTCCAAATCGGTTGTGCATAAATCACCACACTTCCCCTCATGATGATAATAGATTAACTCTCCAAAACTGTAAGAAAAGCCTCAATTAAATGTTTTCTTTTGTAAGAGTTATCTTAGTCATGGTATCTCTTCATAGCAAGAAAAACTCTAAAACAAGGAAGAAAAACACTAAAATTGTGTTCCAAGTCATAGTCTATGGAAGCAAGCCAAGGCAGGAACTGAAAATGGGCAGGTAGAGCCAAGAGCTGGTGCAAAGGCTCTGGAACATTCTGCTTTACTAGCTTGCTCCTCATGACTTGCTCAGCCAGCTTCTTTGTGAACTCAGGACCGCCAGTACAGGAGTAACACCACCCATAAAGGATGGGCCCTCCTTCATCAATTACTAATTAAGGAAAGTCTTACCTTGCCTACAGCCTGATGTTATGGAGGCATTTTCTCAATTGTGATTCTCTTCTCTCAGATGATTCTAGCTTGTGTCATTGACATAAAAACCAACAAACATAATAAGCAATAAACACAATTGACAATGCATACTGTTTTATATATATATATATATATATATATATATATATATGTATGTTACTGGTTTATATATGTGTATATTTACATATATGTATGTATATTTGTGTGTATGCATTAAAGTTCCTATGTGACACTTCATATGTGAGGAGATCAGAGGAAAACTTGTGGCAGTTGTCCTCTACATCCACATTTTGGGTTCTTAAGATTGAAATGAAGTTTTCAGGCTCAACAGCAAGGGTCTTTACTGTTGAGATAGCTCACATACCCAGGGGCTTTAGAGATCTAAAAATACATTCATTTCCATTTTCCTATATTCATAGTAGTCAGTGAATGGAAGCCATCAGAGTATTCATATACCATGAATAGATAAGCAGTCTGTGGAACATAGAAGAGACAGAAAGGAAGTTCATTCCTGAGGAAAGAAACCCTGATGAATGGTACAGTATGCATGGACACTTGGAACATTATTCAAACCAGCCAACCTCAAAACCACAAATACTGTACAAATCAAATTAAATAGATTATCTACAATGATGAAACTTGTCAACACAAAGGTATAAGGTAGAGATGGGTAAGCTAGAACTTCTTTGGTGAACATGTAGTTCATTTCCCAAGACAACAAAGTTCTGATCAGTACTTGTACAATTTGAACATATGTACAATTTGAGTATCAAAATATTTAACACTGTTGGGTTGTACGTTTAACATGGAAGTAATAGCTGTGATTGTTGGCACACACCATGAGTCACTGTACTTATGAGACTGAGGTAGGACTATGTTATATTCAAGGTGATCTTGGCAAAGCTTAGATATTTATTCTCAAGGACATCACAGTATCTTCCTGTGATAATGTTCCCAAGCATAGAACAGTTCTATGTCTTTGCCTGGTAGAACAGCAATCAGGACTAGAGACATGCCAGGCTTGGTTAGAAAATTCTACTTCACAATCCCTCAAACATGGAATTTTAACTGTGACAGACATTTGATGCACCTGGACTGACATCACAGTGAGAATTTTTTCTGACACACTCATTCCCACAGGCATGTTTCCAGCTTGTACTTACAGTCCCATGACAGAGAGCTTTCTATCTCATGCTAAAGTGCAATATTAATTGTCAGACAGGGCAACAAAAAACAAATTGTAACAGGGTGCTGCTTTGTTGTTCCAATGTCACATGATAAGATATAATAGTAACAAAAGGCAATCATGCATTGTTGACTCTCAATTCTTTCAAAATATCTTACTCCCTTTTCGGAATAACTGTCAGTACCCATTTTATAGAAAAAGGTTGAGTATCAGCAAAATTAAATTAGAAAATATCTGTCTAGTATAGTCTAACAAGAGTTGGGATCTAGAACTAAATGTTCTGCTTGTTGTTACTGCCCGATGATTCTTCCTCAGGACTGACTGCTTTGATATTAAAGGTTCTTCATTGTACTTTTCTCCATGGATCCATATTAAATTCTCTATCCTCATTGCCTGAGTTCTGGTTACATTCCTTACCACTCTTAAGATATCCTCAAAGATTTCTTTCTCCTGGCCTTCTCCCTACTGGGTCCAATGCAATTCCTTCCATTCTTTCTGTTCACCATGACATCATCAAAAGTTGGGCTTTCTAAAAGCTGTTCAAAAAATACCTGAGGTTTCAGCTCAGCACAGCAGTGAGGGAGTTTCAGAGCAGATCCTTTCAAATCATGGTGGCCAAAGACTTTTTCCTTTTCCCCTTTTATGTATCCAGGCCTCCAGATGTGGGTGCCACCCATAATCAAGGGTTTTCCCTGTAGTTAATTCCTTCTGAAAATGTTATCTCAGATTCTTTCAAAAGTACATTTTGCTAATCTCCTAGATACTTCTCAACTTTTCAAACTAACAAGGTCACCCTCACAGGCAGCCTCCGAGGGTCTATATACTTGGTTGTCATCTCCAGAACATGTTTTTCTCTGACTGAACATAGCTATAATATAAAACACACCCAGGGAGCACATATAGAGCAATCCGTGTCACTTTAAAGACAGACCAGCATAACATCCCTCTTCTAACAGTTTATTGTTAAATGTCAATGATTCCGAATGCTGAGAAGCTGCCTAATATGTAAGAGAGGCTAGGAGATTTGGCTATGTTGTCAGATTAGTTGGGGTCTTAATGTCCTGAAGTGACACCATGACCACAGGAACTCTGATAAAGTAAAGCATTTAAATGGAGCTGGCTTACAGTTCAGGTTTAGTCCATTGTCATCATGCAGAAAGTATGGCAACATGCAGGCAGACATAGTACAGGAAAGGTAGCTGAGAGTTCTTTATCTTGATCAAAAAACAGTAGGATGTGACAGTGACAGATTTTCTCCACCATCACCAGACATACTCTAATAAGGCCATAACTCCTAATAATGCCACCCATTGTGGACCTATGGGGGTCATTTTTATTTAAATTACCACAGACTTGGGATCAAAGGTACCAGAGGTATCAATGTACCTCTTTCCACTATGTGTTCTGATACATTAGCTTCCCATAGGTTTAGTTTCATCACCTAATTAGTATCTTCCCATCAATGTTGGCACATAGATATCATCTCATCTTCCAGGGCCTGCTTCCTCCTGTGTCTGAACTGCCATAGGGTGGTGTCTTAGTTAGGGTAATTCTCCCATAGTATCCATGTGGAGGGGAGGTTCAAGATTGACCTAAACAATATTGTTTAAATCTTTAAAATTAACAATACTCCAAGACAAAATAACTACTTATAAGTCAGATGGATATACCATAGAAAATACTAGTTCTGTCTAGAAGCAGATGAACTGGAGTTAGGAACAGTATCTGAAGGGATAGAGAGTGATTCCAAGGAAAGAGAATTGCAGCTGAGAATCAAAGCATGGTTGAGGGTTATACAACCTGGGGGAGGAAGAAAGTTTCTGATAAGATAAACAGGGTTTAAATGGGCATTGGAATGAATAGAAAATGGTCTGTTCAAGAAAGTGAATGCTCCTTCTGATGGTTTGAATATGCTTGGCCCAAGGAGTGGCACTATTAGGACTGGCCTTGTTGGAATAGGTATTGCCTTGTTAGAGAAAGTGTGTCACTGTGATGGTAGGCTTTATGACCCTCCTCCTAGCTGTCTGGAAGACACTCTTCTCCTGGCTGCCTTTGGATCAAGAAGTAGAACTCTCAGTTCCTTCTCCAACACTATGTCTGTCTGGATGCGACTATACTTCCCACCTTGATAATGGACTGAATCTCTGAATCTATAAGTCAGACCCAATAAAATGTTGTCCTTTATAAGAGTTGCCTTGGTCACGGTGTCTCTTCACATCAATGGAAACCCTAACTAAGACACCATAATATGGCAGCTCAGGCATAGGAGGAAGCAGGCCCTGGAAGATGAGATGATATCTATGTGCCAACATTGATGGGAAGATACTACAGACTATGATGTAGGTAGTCAGTCTAGCATGGTTAAGTCATATTCACAACATACGGGATTGTCCACTGTAGAGCCAAAGATATGGGTTTAAAGGAGCAGTTGGGCAGCCTGCACTAAGATGATAGGATGGAACAGGAATGGC